CATGACTATACATGTGGAAAAAACTAGAAACAATTTAAGAACTTGCGGTGTTTTGAAAATGGTTGAAAGATTACACAAATATCTGTATGGCATACATCATAATCCTTGAAACAAGATACACACAGGGGAACAAATAGCTTTCCAAGTACAATCAGTGATAGATGAACAAAGTAGGGATCTGTGACAAGAATACTAGTCAGTGACACTGGACAAAACCCATTCCCAGTCTATAGAGTGAGTTCCAGGACAGCCAGGGCTATACAGAGAAACCCTGTCTCGAAAAACCAAAAATCAAACAAAACCTTATCATTCACACTGATACAATTCTGACACCGTTTCAACAGTAGGTACCATCAACCTCAAAAGGGGTTGTTCTTTTCTTACTGACATATGTAAGTTAGATCTACCCTTCAAAGATCTAACTGTACAGTCAAGAGAATGAACTAACCACTTTGGAAAGTTTGCATTGGAACAGTTTTTGAATAGAAATATCCTCTATAACAGGCAGAAACAAGAATCTCTTTTGCACATCAATTGAGTTATACCCTCTATGTTTATTTGCCCAAGGAATAAGCAAACACCCTGTTCAATCCGCATTCAAGAACTGCAGAGCTCATTTGTGAAGTTACACTGAAACTGACACTGGCTTGTAAAAATGTTTTATTTCTTGCTATTCTTAGAGGTGTCAAGCAACTGTCTATGACACTGTTTCCGTGGCTTCCTGGTGATCATCCCCAATGGAGAGTCCTTTGGGAGAATGCCAGTTACTGCTCTTCTTGCTATTTCCAGAGATTAAACTAAAAGTGGCTCTGTATATTTCTAACCCCTGAAAGTGATCTCACTAGATCAGAAAGCTAACCATTTTGTATTTAACTTTTAAGTTAATAATTTCTACCTACCCCCACTGCTTGTCATTTCTCCTATTTAGTTTAGATGTGTTCAGAACTTAATATTCCTTCTCTGTAGTTTTTAGTCTTAATCTCTCCAACTATCTAGAGATGTCCACACATTTTTAGATTTTATATTAACACAAAATTCACACTAATTAAAAAAATATAGTCTGAATGTCACTAGGAGGCAATGTGCTTGTCTACAACACATTAGAATGGAGCCCTCGGTTTGAATCCCAAACACTGGAAAAAGAAAACGATAATTTCTAACTAGGATTACTAATGTCTTTTTTTTTTTTTTGGGGCTGTTGTTTGTTGTATCTTTCTAAATATACCTCTGGCTGGCCTGTTCCTCACTATGTAATCCAGGCTGGTCTCATCACATGGCAATCTTCCTGCCTCAGTTTCCTGAAAGCTGAGCTAAAAGGTGTGAGCCACCATGCCCAATTATAATTACCAATATTAAAGTCATAGAACTGTACTGCTTCAAACAAGAAAAGGTAGGTTAAACTGCTCTGGTTCACCTTGGAAAATTGAAGTTCATTGGGGGAAATAGGAGTTAGAAAACTTTTCTAAATGGGGTGGCAAAATAAATTTTGAGAGCTTACCTAAGAAATGATATTAACAGTTTTTGTGGGAAAATAAATGCACACTTAACGATAAGACAAAGGATAATAATATATTTGATTAAGAAAAAAGTGCCATCAATCTATCATATGCCTTCTACTACATAAGAAGGTATTCCAGAATTTATATAAATGGTTAGTTACTCTGAGACAGATTTATAATGAAATCTTGCTTCTTACTTTCAAATTCTGCATCTTCTGTAATATACAAAAAATGTAATCTATATTTGTAAGTACAATATCAAGTGAAGAGACAGAGATTCTCCCTACATATGAGACTGCATTATGGGAGCTATAATGAAGTCCTATATGCTCAATTCCCAAATACCACAAAAATGGATAAAGCAGCCAAGCAACCTTAGGTTAAAGTCCAAGGATGAGTCAGTGGTAGAACAATTTCCTAGCATGGGGAAGGCCCTGAGCACAATCCTTTGCACCACAGAAACAAAAGTCCCTATGGTTCAGAGAGTCACAAGCAACCCCTCTCAGGTCAAAAAAATGAAAAGAGGGTAGAAGCCAGATAAAACTCATTATCTACATATAGGGAAATTCTGTGTATCTCTATCTACTACCACACCATGCTTACTTAGATAGTGCAAGTCCTTAAACAACAAAACCAATTACACAAATCTGCACAAAATTAAACTGTATATGAACCAGGGTAGATTAGTGGCAAAGACTAAAGAGAATCTCACACTTCTGAAGTCCTGAATGTCTAACAAAATGACACTGAGGCTGAGATGTTACTGAATGTACTTCCTTTTGTAGATTACAAAAAGGTTGCCAGGGGAATCCCTATGCAATGCCCAAGACTCTGTCTTTTACTTTTTATCTTAGCAATGATCTGATAGAGAAAAACCAGGTGGACATATCTGGTGTTCAGATAAGAGGGAAGGGAAGCTAAGGAACCCTCAAAGGGAAAAGAAATCACTGTCGTGCTGCAGTAGTACGCACATATTTTGAACTCTGAACAGTTCCAAAAGACTCCTATTACTACAAGTCAGGAGTCTGTACTCAAAGCGGACCTACGCTAGGCTCAGTAGTATTCTCCTACTCCAATAAAATGACAAAAGTTAAAGCTATCATAGAATCTAGGAATGCTTTACTTCTAAATTTAGGCAAAAAATGTTTTCCACATTTCTGTGTTTTTTACCTTCTAGCCCATTTGAAATCTGAACATTTGGCTGAATTTTTTTTTTTATTTTTGAATTCTTTGGAAGTATTATTATTCAAATAATCATGAAACAAAATATGCAACACTTCATGTTTATTTTTGTACCCACTTCTTTTACAATTCAGTGTAAAAAACTGAATATTCATTATAAGCAATCAAACAGAAAAAAAATTTAATTTTCTTTATTTTGTTTTGGTTAGACAGAGTCTTGCTATAAAGCCTAGAATATACAACAATTCTCCCACTTCAGTCCCACTGCTGCTGAGATTACAGGCATATATATCATGCTCAGTGCTATATAAGAACATATACACATGTGTATATTTTTGGAACATGGTTTCACTATACAATCCTGGTTGGCTTGGAACTCCCTATGGAGACCAAGCTGGCCTCCAATTCCCAGATCTGACTGTTTCTGATTCCAAGTTTAGATTAAAGGTATGTACCAAAGGAGCTAGAAAAATATAAGTAAGTTTGGCTTACAAAATTTCCTAATTGTTCTCAAAAGTTCATCAAAACACAGCAGTGTTTCCTTTCCTGAACATAAAAAAACAATACAGAGAACTATCTCAAAGTAGTGAATGCTGTTATAATTAAAAATGTAAGGACAAAAGGGTCCGCAAAGCCTTTCACCAGGCTCTTTTGTCCATTTTGCTCATTTGTTTAAAAATGAAGTAACTATGAAACATGAACAATTATCTTATTGCTTATATCTAATGTTATGTCAAGAATAAATATGGCAGACTTTTTACTTACTAATCTTTTCAAAAGCAATGTGGGGTTCTACTAATATTAATATGCAATTTAACTTTTATTACTTTCATAGAATAAAAGTAATAAATTACAAGAAATCACACTGCTCCATGTTTTAGCAGTTCTGCCTACTAAGAATGATTTCTGTTAGATTACACTACTTACCTACTATTAAAATGTAAATCATACAACTATTTTTAGCTACTGTTGAAATTCCTGTCTTTGGGAATAATGATTTGAGGCATTGTTCATTTTGTTTATCAAGCAGCTATTCAGCCTCTAGTGGATCCAAGTGCTTATGCAAGCAAAAGCTTTTAAGATGCTTGTTGCAGCAATTCAGCTTTCCAGGTAGGCTGCAGGTTCAGAGCACAGCTGCCCTATGCTTCTCAAAACTCAGATTCATCTGGAATTTAGTTTCAGAGATTTCAATTCAACTTTTCAAGGAGGGTGGCACAGGAGAGAAGAAATGCAAACAACCAAAATGATTTCTCTACTTTACCCTTCACAAGAAATAAAAAGCTCAGGCCCATGCTGCCCCTTCTAGATTGCTACTTGTCAAGCAGGATATTCCATTCAGTCTAAACTGGGATGAGCCATGACTCATCTGGCAGCACCTGCTCCCATGTGTTAAGTATTGTCCAATGAAAGCCCAACACCCATTTACACAACAAAGAATGTACCCTTCAAGGCACAGGGCCTCAATATAACAGCGTCACTGTCCATTTATTCCACATATAGAGAAAAAGCCTTTCCCTTCTTCTCACCACAGGTTTTTAAACTGTGGGTGGATTTATAATGTACGTTCATCTACAAATACTTCTACTGCTTCAAAGAATAAGTATATTAACAGCACAAACACTCCTACAGTATTAGGTTACTATAGCCATTAATGATTGTTTTACCAACCACTCCCAACCTCCTGCATCAAAGCTCTTTATTCTCAAAGGATACATTTTTGAGCATGGAAGGATCAACAAACTAGTTACGTGAAAGCTTTCCTGATGCTAGACTGAAGTTGGGAAAGGCTTAATGACGGCTTTAAAATCCACAAGGGCTTCACAATGAACATCTGACTTGGTGATTTATGCATATTAATAACCTCAGTCCTACTGAGGCAAGCTGAGCTGAACATGTCCTCCGAATCTTAATGTCTTTAGCTCCATTGGGATTATTACAAATGTAAATTTCTAAGATTCTCAGCTATTAATCTCTGTCTGTCCTCCTGTTCAGCAACATAATGACTAATTAAACATCAAAAGACCTGCACAGGAGATCTTTTTTGACAGCTACAGGCCTAGTCTTCTTCCCAAGAGGGGAATTCAAATGACAGGGACAGGGAGTGACAGCGTAAGAGAAAGCTACAAATCATTGCACAGAAAACGAAAAGACTAACATTAAGTGTGGATTTATCTCAATCAATGATTTTGTTAAGCAATGAACAGTTACTATGTAAAGTATGCCCACTGGCATCAATTGAATCCATCTTTGTAGCAAGTAAATACTGAATACTTGACATCAATTTATTTAACATCAAGTTTAAAAAAAAAAAGTACTTACAGAAGAAGGCAGGCCAGGAGGCACCTTTCTTACTTTCTTTGCTTGCAAAGGATCTGCACATGGAAAACAAAATGTTTGATTAGCATTTACATTATGGAGAGAAAAAAAGACTTCAAATGAATAGGAAACAGGTACCATACAGTCATCCATCGTGTTGCCATGCCTCACTTTCTGCTGCATACCCATTATGATTTCTATTTTTTCTAATATTGCATGTTAAGAAGGGGAATCCAAGAATGGCAGCACTGGTTCTTCTAGTATATGGAAAGGTACAGTAAAACAAGAAAACTCACACGTATGTCAGTCCATTGGAAATGAACTCTATGTAACAGGTCTTCCTAAAAGTACACTTCCCTAACAAAGACACAGCATCATATCAAGAATTGGGAAGAGCCAGGCAGTGGTGGAACACGTCTTTAATCCCAGAACATGGGAGGCAGAGGCAGATGGAGCTCTGTGAGTTCGAGACCAACCTGGGGTAATAGGACGGGCTCTAAAGCTACAGAGAAACCCTATCTGGAAAAACCAAAAGAATTGGGGAAGAGGGGGAGGAAGGGAGGGAGAGAGGGAAAAAGGGAGAGAGAGAGACAGAGAGAGAGACACAGAGAGAGAGAGAGAGAGAGAGAGAGAGAGAGAGAGAGAGAGAAAGAGAGAATGAGGCCGAAAGGCACATTTTAAAAACTTAATATCACACAGCAAATACTATAGCACAACTTATTTTGCTGAAAATTTGAAATAAAATTGAAGGAATGAATGAAAAACTAAGAACATAATAACATCAAGACATGTTCCATACGCTATGAAATACAGGCAGTATACACATCTAGTATTATGAGCATTTACTTTGGTAATGTGTAAGACTCAAACTTCAGCACTACAGTATAATTTGAACTTTAATTAAAAGTTTGCAAACACTTTTAAGGAAATGAATACCGAAAGTTTATCTCTTATTTTAAATTTTGCACATTTGTATGTGTGTTTGTGTATGTGTGTGCCATGAAGCAATTCTCCTTAACACTGTAAAGTCACTCGAAATGGTTTCATAAAACGTTGATTGGCCAATAGCTAGGCAAGAAGTATAGGTGGGGTAATCAAACTAAGAACGCTGGAAAGGAGAAGGGCAGAGAGAGGAGTCACCAGTCAGGTGCAGAGGGAGATGAACCTGCCATGCTAATAAAGGTACCACTCCATGGCAGAGCATAAATAAGGAATACGGGCTAACTTAAAAATGTAAGACCTAGCTAGTAACAAGTCTGAGCTATCAACCGAACATTTATAAGTAACATTAAGCCTCTGAGTCAACTATTTGGGAAGCGGCCACCAGATATTTAGGAATAGGCGGGCAGGAGAGAAACGTCTGTCTACATGTGTGTGTGTATGTGCGCACATATATGTGAGTATAGGTGAATGTTTAAGTACAGGTACCCTTGGAGTCCAAGTCCAGGACTGGACTTTCTGGAGCTGGAATTCCAAACAGAGAGTTACAAGCTGCCGTATGGGTGTGGGACTAAACTTGCAGTAATACTCATATACAAAATTTATAACTTTTCCATCGTATTTTTTGAAAAATGATATGTATAGCTTTCAAATCACATGCAAATAACAATCAAGTTCAGGATTTTCAGAGGGATTTGTTATAAGGAAGACTGATGTAAAAAAACTATATTTTTTTAAAACTGTAAAAATGAGAAATAAGAAAAGCATTTTGGGAGGAGGCAGATTATTTTTTCCTCAATAAAAAATTAAAAAAAAAGCTAATCTGAGTTTTAGTAAAAAAATAACTCTAAAGAAAAAAAAAAGAAAAGCATTTTCCTAAGCTGTAAATGATACTACACAATAAAATATGAGATTTTATAAAGATCGAAACTTATTTAAATTTGGTCTGTAGATTCTCTACAGGTAATATCACAGAAGGCTGTAAAGCTAAGAAAGCGACTTTATAAACACCATGTGGAAAATATTACACAATAAAAGGGTCAAAAAGCACTCATCAGCATGGATATCCCTTCCCCAAGAGGTAGTCCACATTTCCTCCAAACATAAATACCAAAGATAAACAACATCTGGCATATTCTGTAAGACTTACAGTAAAACCTTTTTTCTTAGTGAAATGTTTCAGCAGTCTACTTCTTTACAACTTATTCCTTTAGCAAAAGCTACACTTTATACAAATCACTCAAGGAAATGGCTCCTATGGCTTGAAGTTATCAGAATAAAGATATTTCTTTTGTATCTCATTATTGGCAATATACTGTACTATCACCAGTTTAGGATTCACAGTCTAGTTTGGGGAAGCTGTAAACTGTGATGGAGAGTCAGCTGGCTATATTCAGTACAGCAGCCATATGAACCTGGGAAGGTTACTTTAACCTCTTTGTGCTTCATCTTCTTTAGATGCATAAAGTGGTGGGCCCCCACCTCTCCTGTGAGTTTCATGTTCTGTGATAATACGTGAAATATGCTTATTCCATTGCCTAACATTTGTGACACTTCAATGTTTTACCTCTATGTCTGTGGATCACATGTATACTGTGCCCATGGAGGCCAGAAGAGAATGTTAGATCCCCTGGGACTGGAGCTAGACAGTTGTAAGCCATCCCACAGGTGCTGGAAATGGACCTAGGTCATCTAGAAGAACAACCAGAGCTCTAAACTGCTGAGTCATTGCTCCTGTACCACACTTAGTGACTTTCAGCCCTTATGTAGATTAAAACAATTATAAATTAGAGAGTTACTGCTCTCCAGCATAGTTTCTTAAAGTACCTAAATAGTTTCAGAAAACACTAATATTGTAGCTCCCTACAGTTCTTCTAAGTGCTAACATTACCAGACAATGCAATGCCAAGGAAAGGCTAAGATTGGGAACAGCAATGGGCAGCATAATAATAACCTACTAGTTGGTATCCAAACAGGAAATGGATAGAATTCCTCCGAGTATTAAGAGTAACACTGTATGCTGCATTTCATTTGGACTCCTCATTTATACTCTAATGTTAACATTACAACCTCACAGAGTTTTGAAAAGATGCACTAGATAAACAACAGCAAGTATAACATAATAGAAAAGAAATGAAATTTGAATCCATGGAAAGCCTGAATATTAAGACTAAATTTTAATGGAACATATCCCTATTCTCTTCTAGTTACTCAGTGGTTTTCTTTTGGTAGCAGCACACTGGCAGGGATTACTGGTTGCTACACTGTGTGCATGGAGTCTTTGAAGAAGAAACTCTTATAGACTAACCCAATACAGACTCAATTGAGACCTCTACTGGGTTAACTCATCAGGTAGACAAGGAGAGCATATATGGACAACATTTTCTAAGTTGTCATTTCTTTACTAACAAAAAGAATACTGGTCTAAACCATCAGGGCTGACTCTAATAGCACCCATACATATTACATGCCTATTGTTCACATGAAATAAAGATATCAGAATTCTCTTCTGAATGTAGCAATCCATCACTGTATCCTTTCTATGTACCTCATTCATACTTTAGACCTAGAGATTAGAAATAGCTCATCAAAATACATGGTTAGATAGGAGGTTGATATATTAGCTAGAGGCAGTCAACAAATATTTATGTAATCAGGAACTATAACACATTTTATTTGGTTTATATTTCTTTAGCACCTGGCCTATTTTATTATAAACATGTTTTACAACTTTAAGTTTCTTATATTAAATAAACCCACAAAATTTTCACTTTAAACACTAATTAGATAGAAAGAATATCCAGCAGCAGAAAAAAGCTTTGTCAGGATAAATGGAAGAATGAAGAAATACATTCGCATACACATAACTGACATAAAAATCCAAAGCTGTAAAGGAGGAGTACAAATGTTTACTACATACAGGGATTCTTTCAGCATGCTTCTCTGAACTAAACAACACTGTGAATGCATTATATATGATTCCATTGTATACTTTCACATAAGTTAAGTGCTTATTAATTTTATCTCAATTTCAAAGGAAAAGTAGAGAAAAGGAGGAACTATTATGCAAACAAACAAATAATAACAACAAACTCACTGAATTCAGACTCACAAAAACCTTAAAATTTATCTCATTTGAACAATCTACTATTATGTATGTGACATCTTTTGAACCTTAGCTTTTATGCTATATTCAGGACTAAAATCATGAACTAACAAGATTATTTTACTGTTGAGACAGGAATTTATAAAACCATTTTGTAAACCTTTCAGTACTATTTTCATTTTAGTTAAAAATTAGGTATTAACCATAGAACATAAAATTTCCTTTTAAGAAGAAAACACTTGCTAGTTAGAAAAAATTAGCTAAATCCTCTCATGAAGCAAAATATTAAATTGTTTAAAATCTGTTAAAATTCTGGTTTAATATGACTGCCTAAACAAGACCTGAAAAACACGACAACATCAATAGACATCTAACAAGGAAGGGAAAAACTTGAGGGTGTCTACAAAGAATTGGGTAATGCTGACAGCGAGAGAAATAGTCTCCCCCGTGGAAGAACTCCTCAATCAGTTAATGAAATACTAAAGGGTCAGCTATGAAATTATACACATAAAGGTAATACAATACAGATTGGATAGATTATATTAATATATTTAGGAATAATTATTTTTATAAAACAACAATTAAAGGAGGTCATAAACTTGACAGCAAGTTTGGGTTGCAAGGGATGGGGTGGAGGAAGAAAAGGGTAAGGGAATGTAATTGCAATTTCAAAAAATAAAAAATGTATTATAAATAAAAAACTATGGCTTGAGGGGGCTCTAAAAGTACAGTGTATATATCTATACCATGATGTAGGTGGGTCTTCTATCTATCTGTTGCTTTCATTGGTTAATTAATAAAGAAATTGCTTGGCCTGATAGGTCAGAACATAGCTGGGTGGAGTAGACAGAACAGAATGCTGGGAAGAAGGGAAGTGAGGCAGACGCTATAGCTCTCCTCTCCAAGATGGACGCAGGTTAAGATCCTTCCCGGTAAGCCACCACCTTGTGGTGCTACACACATTAATAGAAATGGGTTAATCAAGATGTGAAAATTAGCCAATAAGAGGCTAGAACTAATGGGCCAAGCAGTGTTTAAAAGAATATAGTTTCTGTGTAATTATTTTGGGTAAAGCTAGCCGGTGGCCGGGAGCTGGGCAGCGGGCCTCATTGTGCTCATATTGATGAAAATTACCAACCAAAACTACCTATAGTTAGTTAAACCTTGAATATAAAGTGGAAGATTTCTTTACAACAGTGGGAACTCTTGACAACTCCATTTATTGCGTATCTAATGCATACAAGATGAGTATCCCTTATCTGAAATGCTGTGGCCAGATATGTTTTAGTCTTCAGATCTGGACTATCTGTATAAAGATAATGCAGTATCCTGGAGACAGAACCAACACATAAAGATTAAGTTCATTTATGTTTCATAT